CGGCCGGCGAGGCCGGGGTGCTGGCAGGGAAGGATCAGGCTGCGGGCAGCGTTCCGAGGGGGGCGCTGCCGTGTCCCCGCTTCTGCTCCCAGAGCCCTGGGGTGGCCTGGGACATGGCCGCGTGCCTCCTGTGCAGCCGCGGAGGCCAAAGTCCTCTAGCGGGCAGAGAAAGATAAGCCCTTTGTTGCTGATTCATCTGGCTGGCAGGGTGTGGCTTTTATTTCTCTTTTTTTCCTTCCTAATCTGAAAATGCAGGGGATTTTTTTTTTCCGTGTCAGATGGACAACCATAAGAATCTTGTCTCTGCCAGCAGCTACCACCATCATATAGACGCTATATGGTAGTAAACTATGGCTGCTACCAGCCTCCAGCAGGTCTGCACTTGTGTCCAGTTAATAAGAATCAATTCCTCATTACTGGTCATCTAGTCTTGCCTTTGTTTTGTCAGTGTGTGTATTGGCAGTTCCCCTGCTTAATGGTTTCTTTTTTGGGAGGGATTCACGTTAAGCATCTTACTAGCCGTTTGTCAACATTTTTACATTTTTTGAACATTTCTGTTGTTTTAGCTGGAGTCAGGAATGTCAGTTTATCCCATCTGCTGCTGGTGTAATAGGCAAACATTGTGTTGCATCAGCCTTTTAATTCAGTACCGTCCATCTTGCCTGGTACCATGTGGAAAGACACCGAGAGACCCGCACTCCGCTGCCCGCATGCTGACCTCATCAGGTACAAGTTTGTGCTCGCCTGGAAGCAGCGTATCCAGAGCAAGATGCTGTGCTGACGCACCCCAGAGACAATACTGCCTTCCTCAAGGCCACTGACCTCTAGCGCAAGCTGAACGTCATGGTGTTTGCACACCCTCTAAAGGGTTTTTCTGTTCAATATTCAAGTTTACTTATCACAAGTTGCTCCCATCTGATTTGTAGTGGAAATGAACTGTTTTCTATCTGATCTTCTAGTTGGGTTGTAGAGTCAAACAATTAAACTTAGGTTTATTGAAGATCTCTTAACTCTTAATCAGTTATATTAGCACCCCTTAGCCATTATTTGAATTGTAGGACAGGGCAGTGATCTTAGGAAGGCCTGTCCTCAGTAGAAAACTAAGCAAAAAAAAGTATATAAAACCTTTCGTAGTGTTGAAGATGAGTGAGGTAAAGCAGTGAAATCCTAGAGGTGTTTGCCTAGGTCATTCTGACTTGCTGCCTGTTTTGCAATAGCCACAGACGAAGGGCTCCCAGTAAACCATCGGAGGCATCTTCTGTGAGCTCTGAAGTGTGTTTAGGGATTGTTTATATATAATTGCAATGCGTATTTACTGTGCTGCTGATTCCTGTAATGCATCATATTAAACTGATGAAGAAATCCTTAAGCAAACGTGCTGAAAAGTGCCAGACTGTCCCAAGTAAGTTCCGAGAAGGGCCCGTCTCCTTGCCAGGCATTCCAGAGCAGCGTTGTGTCTTGCTTGCATGTCCATGTGGGGATCAGAGATTTCCTCCTCAAGAGAGACTGAAGCTAAAAAGTGCAATGAGAAGCTCCCGAAAGCCTGTGGCGCACTTAGCACCGGCTCCCAGTAGGTTCTTGGAGAACCTGATGGAGAAAAATTACATAGGGAAGGCAAATCTGCCACCACCTCAAAGACATCTCATCATGTTGCCTCCGAGGCATGATGCTCCCTGCAGATCTAATCAAATGTTTTGGAGTGGGATACTGTGACTGAAAATAAACAAAAAACCACAATCTCTCATGCTCTATTCCCATGTTCTGCTCTCCAGTCAATCTCCATTTTGGCAAAATATTTATGAATTTAATTAGCAATGTTTGATTATAGCTTTGTTGCAGACTGAGAAAGATTAATATAATAGGAATTTACTTCTCAAGTGTTTCAAAAAGCCACAGGGTATCTTAAGTATGAGACTTGCTGCTAGGACCACAATTATGAAATATTAAAGAAATTTAGTTATTTTTAAATGGATAAAATATCTGTATAATTAATAGATAATTGCTTTAAAATGTGTTAATATGCAGTGATATTAATATTAGTTCTGACATTATCCAAAACCACTCAAGTTTCTTTTGCTAATGTTTCCACATTAGTAGCATTTAACTAAGCAGACTTAGTTAGACTATTTAAATAACCATTTAACATAAAGGCTTTCCAGATTCTTCCCAAACTATGAGAGTTTTTGTTAAGAAATATAATTTACATAAATTTTGGCGACAAGAAGTTGTAAATTTAGTCCTGCATCTTCAGAAGGCAAAACAAATTTTCTACTTAACTCCAGTGAAAACTCTGTTTAAAATCTGCTGAAATGCTATTCCACAGCTTCTGTGTGGTGTTATTTATTTTTTCCAACTATACATTTACTGATTCACTGTACTGTTACTATTTCTGGTCAGAATGATACAGATGAGGTTCTAGGTAAATGAATTCAAGAACAAATTAGTTTTCTTTTGATTATGTGAATTTTCCTTTTTGGAAAATACAGAAATAAAGGAGGGAAGGAAACAAAGGAAGAAGTTTGACCTGTGCATAATGCTTTCATCTATTCATGCATTTGCACTCTGAAACTGCTTTGTAAAATACCTTATTATAAAGCTAATATGTTTCAGTAGGAATTGCATATATTTGAAGTGAAGTTTTCATTTTTAATAATAACTTAAGTGCTGAAAAGCCTGCCTCAAAGGCCAGTCGTGATGCTGTATCTATCCAAATGACCCTTTGTTAAAATTATTTTTTGTTCATTTTCTTTGAATAAAAGCAAATAAATATGGATATTACTGGATATTTCTGCCAAATATATTTATTATTATAGAAATATTCTGTCTTCTCCTTGCAATAAAAGAGCAGAACTCTTTTGCAGGATTAACTTGTTAACTGTTTGAAATGCAGGCACACATCCCAGGAGAACAGTATCTGCATCTTTTGAATGAGTTGCAAGTAGCAGGACTCTGTACTTAAAAAGAGCCATTTCCCCCAAACTGTGTGTTAGTCTTAAAGGAGAGCCCTGACAAGGCGAGCTGGTGAATGTTGCAATGGCTTCTATAGACACTCCTCCACGCTGGCAGGTGCATGTTGTGCCATGAGCCAAGGCTGAAATAACTGGGAATCCTTCAGACAGAAAGTCCCAGATCACAGACGCGTGCGTTCCCAGAAAACATATGTAATCTGTATTAGTTATGCCCATTTTCACTGTGTTTTTGGTCATTGTGCAGGCATGACCATCCAGTTACAACCAATGATCACATGTAACTAATGTGGTGACCTGTTGTCCCAGCTGCTATGTTTCCTGTGGTATCTTCGTGATCTTTGCTATTTCCAGTGTGTTTTTACTTACCACTTTCACAATCAAGCCACTATTTCTGATGGGGAAAAAAAGGGCATTTATACACATTTTATTTATCATTTAAGCCCATTGCCAAACCCCCATATTTTAGTGTCCTTTGAAATTTCTTTGCAATAGCATATTCCTACAATTAAGCACAAGGTAGTGAGAAGTAAGGCTGAGCTTTTACCTAACGTGAAGGAGACAGCTCTGTGAAAAATATGTAAATCAGGACCTTAAACATCATCACTTTATGAAATTCCACATACATTTTCCTTTTTGTAGATTTTTGATCTTTTATTGTAAATGCCAAGCTTTTAAGTGCATAATTTCAATATATACTTGGGACTCAGAGAAGATGCAGGGTTATTATAGCTCTTAATTTCATAATCTTTTGCTATAGTAACCATTTTTTTTTTACTCAGGAGTTTTTCTTCAGTTCTTGATGGTGACCCCAATGATGGCCATTGTGTGTAGATTTTACTCTGTACAGACAGGAGTGAATTCATTTGGCATGAAAGAATGGCACAATGGAGCCCCAGCTTTTGCCTCTTAAATGGAATATATATTTGCTTCTGAAATCAACTGAACAGCAATTGATTTGTTATCCACAGCGCTTACATTTGAAAGTGAGTCTTCCCAGGAAGGGGACACAGCTGGCTGCTGTTGCCTTAACTTTGATGAAATTTATCACTGTGGGAGAACTAATGGAATCCATCAGAATTTGACCTTTTCAGGAGTGTGATCTGTTCCACATATTGAAAAAACAAACAAGCAAAAAAGGTAACTGAGAAATTTCTCACATTCTCTCCCAAGCTTGAGAACTTAGCCCGTAGTATGAAAGTGAAAACCACAGGGCTAGTGCATGGTTATGTCCTTGTGAGTCGTCCGTCCCTACCAGAAAGTCCTGTAGAGGACAAAACCGCACTCTGGAATGAGTCTGCTCTTGAGTGAGCTCTGAGGAACCAGGGATGTGCTGGGCAATATCCAGGACACACAGTTGTTCTTCCCTTGACCTATGCACAAGAACGTCAATCATTCCCCAGTGAATTACCACAGAGTTATTAGATGGAACACCGGAGGCAGGTTCATTAATCATACTGCTACTCACCATGAGTCATTATTGTTGTGCCTCAGGTATTCCAACCCTGTGGAGTCACTGTAAGGTGTGAGGGTTGATTTTGATAAGTAGGAAGCAAGTTACAATTTGCTGTGATAGTACAAATTACTGCATACTCCAAAAGGGGCCATTACAAGATCATATCTTCTAATCCATTTCTTGATGACTTGCACTGATACTTATTACAGCTAAGGGTTATTTTCAGGTATGTAATCATGGAGTATGGAGGCTGAAATGCTATGTTCTGTTTCCTGTGTCACACCCTGAAGGGCTAGCACTTGTATAGATATTAGACGCTTTGTCTTCAGCTGAATCTATTGCTGTTGAATAAAAAAATCATGTGCTATGT